ACACTTTTTTGTTAAAAAAAAAATTGACAATTTATTTATGTGTCAGAAAAAAACTCTAGCCACTAAACAAACGAAAATGTTTCTTTTGGCAATCACAATTTTCACACTTTTCACACTTTGCATAATAATTTGCAGAGTTTGTTTGAGCAAAAAAAAGCATGTGGCAAGCAAGTGAGCGTTGCAAATGATAAGTAACAAACAAAAACAAACAAAAAATACAAATACAAAATAGAGAAAAAAAATTGCGCGCGCTAGTTTGAATCCAGTTCAGAAAAGCAGTCAGTCAGGAAAAACCAAAGACGAAATAAAAAAAAAAAACCTATTACAAAATTCAAAACATTTTCAAATGAGAGCGAAAGCAAGAGTCTCTCTGCTGCTCTCAGCAGTGTTGCCAGGTGATGAGCGCCCATATAAGCTAGATTTAAAAAAAAAATAAGCTAGAATAAGCTAAACAATTTTTAAAAAATGCGAAAAAACAAGCTACACCCAAATATGAGAAAACACGAAACATATAATATATATTATTATATTATATGAATATGTTATTATTAAAGAAAGTCTTAAAAATATGTTTTTAAAGTAAGCACTTAAAACAAATTAGTTAATATTTCATCAATTCCTTCATGTTGTTCGTCGCCGAGTGTTCGGCAATGAACAAACAAAGCGCTGCTTCCTGATCCTGAGTCTTGCAACACTTAGCCGGAAAATTTATTTTTTGCGATTCAGCAACTGATCTCATTGATAAAATGTGCTTTTTCGATGCCGCATGCTGCCTGATTTCAAAAATTTTGGCTGATATTGTCGACTTACAGTAGCAACAATATGCCTTGGTTCCTTCTCCTGGCACTTAAATTCGTTGTTTTGGAGCCAAGCATCCCGAAAAATCTGTTTATATATAACTTTCGGCATTTTGAGGACACGCTTTACCTATTTTCACAACACAACAAAATTATTGGTGGTAACACTTCAGCCAACAAATCGATCTCCGATGACACTTTCGATTAGAAATAAGTTCACGATCACATAAAATTCACATAACCATCGGAAAAAAAGAACAAACTCCAATATTTTCATGCTATAAAGCATATTTTTCGTAAAAAACATTCCGTGGATGTCAAAAATACATAAAAAGCTAAAATATGCTAGATGAATTTTAAAATAAGCTATATTTCAAGCTATAAGCTAGATGGAAATTTTTCAAGCTTTTCTAGTTTCAAATATGCTAGAACTAGCTTATAATAAGCTAACCTGGCAACACTGGCTCTCAGTAGCCGCTTTTTAAGTTTGTTTGGCTCTCAGCACGACCTCTTTTTTCGAAAGCTCTCTTGCTTCTCTCGCGACCGAGGAACGCCGACAGCGAGCGTATATTGCGGGCGAGGGCGTGGAATTCTTTTGGGGCCGCCGGTGCATGCTGCACTGACTCTGAATAAGTATATATATATTATATATATATATGTATTTTTGCTCTATATACACAACACAGGTTGTATATAGAAAAAACTATATACTAACTTTGTATACAAAAACAGACAGAGAAATACTAAAAAGGAGAAAAGTTGTATGTAATTTAATGTTTACTTTATCTTGGAACTATTATTAAAAAATCAACCTTGTGATTGATTTAAACTAAAAAATAAGGTGGTATTTAATTAATATATTTTATTCCTCTTTCTAAGGTTTAACAATCAAACAAAAATTAATTTTATATTTACGTTAAAGATTATTAAGGCATTAACTATGTTTATCTCATATTTCTAGCTTGTTTAATAATAAAAATATATATACAATATTGTTAAATATATATTTGTTATTGTTATATATATTTTCATATTCAATCGATTTCCCTCAGTGTAGATATAACTGTACATGTCTGTGTACTATATACCACAGCACATGCTTGTTTTTTGTAGGGCGCCCTCTCAACTTGTGTGCCAGAAGCGAAAAAGGAAAAGTTTTTTATTATTATTTTCCCCTTTGACTTACGCAAAAAAAAAATAAATAAAATAAAACTATAGGGTAAAAAAATGAGGTACTATTTTTTGCAAAACGAAAAATAATTATGCAAGTAATAAGGCAAAGCCAAAAATAATAAGAGGAAAGAGATTACATTTCAAAAAGAAAAGAGGAAAAAAGAAGCAAGTTTCCGCAAAGCTCAAATAAATATCCGCTTAAGCCAGAGTTAAGTTTAAAGGTCAACCTAATTATTAAAAATGAGTTAATAGGAAATCTAGAATGGGTTTTGTATACTTTAAGATTTGTTAAAGATATAATATTTTGTAAATACGAAGAGATAAGAAGTATATAAATATATTTATATACATTCCCGTGCAAACACTTCAATATTTTAATTATTTTAAACAATAAATAATATTATAATAAAATACATAGTATAATATTCAAGGTAATTCTAATATTTATGGATTTGAAAAATCTAAATTAATCGATTTAACGATTTAAATTCGAATAAAAATATTAAACAGGCTTAATAAACCCGAAAAATATTTGAAAATCTAATATATCTTCTTTAAAAGGCATTTATAATATTAAAAGCCACAAACAATCCTTAGGCCACTGTTTAGCATCAATAAAAATACTTTAATTTATACAAAAATAATGATAATTTCAAATTATTTACTCAAAGAAACGCTTGCAACAATAAAATAAACCACAAAGTTAAAAAGAAAACAAACCCCAAAAAAGAGCGAAAGGTAAATGAGAACAAGGTAAAGAGAACAACAGCAGTTTTTGTAATAAACAAAAGCAAAAAACAAAAAAGAAGGAAAATAAAATGTTGACGCAGTGACAACAATGACAAAAAGCTGGCGTCATTAAGACGTGACAGAGCCAAGAACAACAACGAATTAAACGAAAACCGCAGACTGACCGACCTACCCGACGATGACAAAATAAAATTAAAAATGGAGAAAATAACAATAATAATAACAAGCTGAGGAAGCGAAATAAATAATTGGGATAGGTCTGGGATATACAGGCACGAAAATACACCTTATTAATACATTTTTAATGCCATATAACCGAAATGGGGTCACACATTTCCCCCCATCAGTAATGCAAATTTACATAATCTGCGTTTAATTACTCATGATTCTAAAATAACTCCCCGGTGAATTCCTTTCGGGACAGAAGGAAGGACACACATTTCAAGTTTTAAGTTTCAGAATTTCCCTAAAGAATTTCAATGTTAGTCTGTGTGTGTTTTGCTGCGCATTTATAAATAATAAGAAATATCGATTTAATTTCATTACAACAACGACTGCAGGGGCGCCCCAAAAACTGCAAACAAGGGAGGGGTGGGGGCACCCATTTCATTCCATTCCCCATTCGTATTATTTAATATACAAAGCAAATGTTGTATTTGGGAAAAATAAAAAGGGGTCATGATTTTGAGGCTGACTGCCAATAATAGTTGTGGTAGTTTATGGCTCTTGTCTTTTGCCAAATTTTTGGGGGAAAAGAAACTCAAAGGAATTGTAGAAACAGGAAAAGCCTTTAAAAAGCCATGGAAAAACCTTACAGGAACTATGAAAAGTCTGATTAGATATTACATATACAAGGAAATAAATATAAAATAAACAAGAGATTCATAACAATATATTTTACATTTAAACATGCAATTTCGTTGAAAACTCAATACGTATTACGTATACGCAAGGTAACTTATAAATTCGTTTAATAAATATATGTATTATTATTATTATTATTATAAACTATAAACCTACCAACCAAACAAAACACTTCCAATTAAACATTTAAAACTCAAAGGAAACTTCCTTAATAAAATATATAAATAAATATTACGTATACGTAAGGTATCTTTTAAATTTGTAAAACAAAAAAATCCATTATTATTATTATTATTATAAAAACAAGACTTTAACAAAAATACCTTTGTCAGTTTTTAAATAATTCCATTATAATATTTAATAGATTTATTTTAAAATCCAATAAAATATTACGTATACGCAAGGTAAGTTATAAATTGTTAAAACCAAAAGATCCTTTATTATTATTGTTAATTGTAAAAGTCTCCTCCCAACAAGGGATTTAACATTTAAAGAAAATGAATTTAATAACAAAACAAATATTAAGTATACGTTATAAATAAATAAATTTTGAAAAATACAAATCTTTATATATAAGTAGATCTCTGTATTTGTAAAAATGAAATCCTACCTGGCGTATACTTAATATTTTGTATAGTTTTTAAGAGCTCCTTCTGTTTACCTTGCGTATACTTAATATTTCTTTAATTTTGAAAGTTTACTTGTATACTTAATATTTCCTTTGTTTTAAAAGACCTCTACTTAAATTTCCTCAACAGAATGGTTCTTGTATTACTAAACAAACCTGACTAACTGCAAGATCTTAAATAACAACGCAACAACTTTAATTTCCTTTCGAAATTCGATTCTTTTGAATTCTATTCATTAGTCTTACATTACTCATTTCGTAAAACATGCATCTCTTGTTTCAAAACTATTAAAATAATAGCTCCTTGATTCACTTGATTGTTTTGCATTTTAAAATCAAACCCAGTTCGTGATTAAGAAATCAAATGCGTGGCTAAATAACTGAAATAAATATCTGATTCCCAGAAGTTTTTGATTACTGCCACAAGGTTATAGGATGGACATTACTCATACGCAATGTTGTAAATAATTTTTGAATGAGGGTCACTTGAAAATACGTGACAACAGCTAAGGAGATGACTTTAAGGTACTTTCAAGAAATATCTAGAAGGTATTTGAACAAGGGAAGAGTTATGAAAAGAATAAATAGGTTTTAACTTAATATAAAGTGTTGAAATTGAAAAGATAATAAAGTAAATAGTTTGGAAAACTAATTTACTAATAGGAAAGAGTATATAGTTTATCCGAAATTGAGATATTTAAATATTATTCCTATTCCAACCAATAATCTTAGGAGTTCTTAGCATATTTAATAAATTAATAGAAAATATAAAAAATTTCCAAACTCACCCTCCAATTTCATGCCGACTTCGAGGCACTTCTGGAACCTGCAGTAAGGACACCGCTTCCGCTGCGTCTTGTCAATGTGGCAGGATCGTTCCGCCACACAGGTATAGACCTTCTTATTCTGCACGGTCCGCTTGAAGAAACCCTTGCAGGACTCGCAGGTGAGCAGGCCATAGTGATAGCCACTGACCTTGTCACCGCAAACGGGGCACAGTTCCTCGAACAAATGCTTAAAGTCGATCACTTCACCGCCATGTCCTGGCGTGGCACTTGTTCCGCCCATCGAGTTACCGGGACCGCCAGAGTTGCCACCAGCTCCTCCGCCGCCGCCGCCGCCGCCTCCACCATTGCCACCGCCATTGCCCACCGAACCGGAGGACATGTGACCACCGCCGCCAGTGTTATTATTATTGCCACTGGAGCTGGCCGCTTGGGGGAGGAGCATATAGCCACCGCCGACGGATGAGCCGCCGGAGCTGCCGTTGAGGAGATTGCCGCCATTGCCACCGCCACCTCCGCCGCCGCCGCCAGCACTTTGTTGGGAATGCGAGGAGGTGGTGTCCTGATAGCCTGTCGGAAATATATACTGTGAATCGAAATTGTATATATACGAGTAGGATGACGCATTGAATTGATTGGCATTGTTGGCTATATTCTGTTGTTGTTGTTGTTGATAGTGCTCCTGCTGTTGTTGTTGTTGATGTTGGTGTTGCTGCTGCTGTTGTTGTTGCTGTTGCTGGTGGTGTGCATTGTGGTGTTGTTGATTTCCACCACTGTTACTTCCCGCCAATTGCAACGTATACGCATTATATTCATGCTCGAATTTGGTCAAGACATTATCATTGTTGTTGTTGTTATTATTGTTGTTGTTGCTGCTGCTGGTGTTGGTATTGTTGTTGTTGTTGGTATTGCCACTATTGTTGTTATTGTTGGTGTTGCCACCAGTGGCCAAAGCTGGACTGGAGGGCTGCTGCTGCTCCAGTTGCATGCTGAACGGCGATATATTCAGCGACGATATAAACTGTACGGTCGCCTGTTGCTGATCCATTTCTAATAACATTTCATGTATGTTTTATACCCTTGAATTCGGAAAGGTAAATTTAATTTTTAATTTATGTGTATTCCTTTTCCTTTTTTTTATTTTTATTTCCTGGACGGAAGCTTAAATTTTGTTTATATTATATATAGTTTTATTTACTTTCTCTCTTTCGGGTTTTAGTTAAATTTGATAGTAAAATAGATCCTTGTAATCCTTGTACGGTGGTCTGGTTTTTGCACTCAATATTTGAACATTATTTTTGAATATTTGCAACATTTTAAAGAGTGCGTGTGCTTTAACAGTGCTTCTTATTAAAATGTATCATAATATCTTGACATATTTTAATAGTAAATATTGGTTTTAAATTTTGGGTTTTTTTAATTTCTTTGCAAGAAATATTTTGGAATTGTTACGCGGGTTTCTTTAGAAGAAGAAAAAATGTATTATATACAATTTTTTGTTTGTTTTATATTATGAATTATTCTTTATAAGAAATGTATTTATATTAATTATTAAATTTTAAACGATTATTCCTTTGAAGAAATTGTTTTTGTTTAAGTGTTATTTTGCAGGTACTTTGACGAGGTGAGTGAGATATATATTTATATGTAGAGTTGACAGGCAAAAAAGGATGATTTTGTTGTTGTTTATAAACTGTACTATATATATATTTATTGATTGTGTGCGTTGTTGAATTGAAACGATTGGCAAAACACTCGATTTTTGTTGTAGTATTTTTATTTATTTCACTTTTTTTGCATTCGTACGTTGTGTTGTATTCTTTTTGCTTCTTTTATTTTGATTATTTTTGTTGATTGATTGAAAGTGGGTCACGGATCTAATTGCACTCTATATACACTTTTTGTGCACATATTTTATTGAATTTTCTTTCGATTTGCTTGGATTTGTGGAAAACACAAACTTTTGTTGTTGTTGTTGATGTTGTTGGTGTGGTTTGTTGTTGAAACTTTAAAACTTTAAGCATACACTCACGCAACGCAGCAAGAGAACATAATCCTGGGGCTGTTTTCTGCTGTGTGTGAGTGAGGTGTGCAGCTTTAATTTTACACGCTGGATTATATATTTATTTATATATATTTTAGCAGATATATTTGCGAATTGCAACTTTGCATTGGTTATACTTTTTATCTATGGTATTTCGCAACGGTGTTGGCTGCTGCTTTGTTTATTTTTTTGTTGTTGTTGTTGTTTCGATATCGACGATATTCGGGTCACCGCTCACACGCGCACATTTTTCTTGTTAATAATATTTCGTTAGCTGTAACTTTTTGCGTGCCTCTGTGTGTGTGTGTGTTTTGTCGGTTGCGTATATGGGTGTGTGTGAGTGTGTAAGTTATATAGACTGTGCTGTGCGAAAAACACGACCAACATCAACCACGTATCTCGATTGACTAAAACCCAAGTATAAACGTCGAGGATACCGCAATACACTATAGTGCTGCCCGCTGTCGCTGCCAGCGTCGCTGCCTTGGCTGGCAGCACTGCCTCGGTCGCTGTCCGCGTTACACTCTCGCTCTCACTCGGCAGTTTCGGGTATTACGTATACGCTCGGTGGGTCGTTCGTTTATTTGCTCACTCGTTCGCGCGCTTGTTCGTTTCACTTTCGATGGAGCTTGTGGGGCCGCTCTCTCATATTCTCTCTCTCGCTCGCAAAGGCAGCGCTGCCTGGCTTGACTTAGTGCCCCCTTTTTTTTGGGGCCTTTGTTTTTGTTGCTTTGCTGTTGAAATTCAAACTCTGACTCGAAACACAAACACACAAGCGCAAATACAAGCGCCAACTCAAAGGCAAAACGGAAAGCGAAAGTGAAACCTTTTGGCATAACTTTGGGCCCACTGTAAACCACTGTGCGAGGCAACAACAGTAAGTCATTCTTTCGGAAATACAATAGTGGGCAAGAAAATAAAATCAATGCAAATCAATTGATAATAATAATGAAAACTTTAATTTTAAGTTAATTACTATTTTTTTATGTACTAAAACTAAAAAGTACATTATTTTGAACTCACAAAAAGAATAGTAAAACATCTCAAAACAAATATAAAATTATTATGTATTATTTATTAATATTTTTTCGAGTGCAACTTCTTTAATTTTACGATTCATTATTTTTGTATATTAAAAACATCAATTTTATATAATTACAAATCACAAAAAGAGTTTTAAAACCTCTTCAAATTAATATTAAATTAAAATATATTCTTTATTAATTTATTAGAGCAAGCTATTATACTTATATTTATTTTTAAACAATTATTTCTGAATAAAAAAAATATATATAACAAAAATAAATAAAAAGCTGTAATGTTTTCATTTTCTAACATTCCTTTTTTAAAATAAATAAACTTAGTATCAAAGTCAAGCCAAGTTTCTAAAATTTCTTCCTCAACTGTTTGGGATGATGGCCAAAAAGCAACGGCATTATGAAAGCCTTTAAGCCTTAACTTTTCAAGTGGCTATTTTGTAATTTCTTACTCACTCAAATAAACTGGGAATTTTTCGACTCTTCTTCAGCATTTTCGGTTTTTTTTATTATTACTATTTTTTTTTTGTTTCCTTTGATTTTATTTGGGTTTTGTTGCTGGCACTGCAGCTGCTGCTTGGTTTAGTTTCTTCGTTTTTCTTTCCGTTTTGTGTCTGTGTTTTGGTCTCAATTAGTTTTGTGGGTTTCTCATTGTTGTTTTTGCTGGTTTTGTTGCATTTGTTCATGACACGGTTTTCATGTGGCGCGTTTTCGTTTCCTATTTCTATGTTTTTTGTTATTGTTATTGTTTCGCTTATTCACGTTTTTTCTTTTCTTATTTCTTTATTTTTTAATAAGCATTGCTTTGGGCTTTTTGCTAGTTTAATATAAAGTTATTGTGTCTTTTGGGTTTCTGGGGGTATTTTGGTTATTAAAATACAGTTATTAAGCTGTTGGGGAATTTTGTCAAGCTTATTTGTCATTCTTTTGAAATTTGCTTATTTGGTAATTTATAATTTTTTAGGTTGTTTAGTTTTATATTTTATTTAAAGGAATACCCTTTTATACCCTTCAGGGTATTATAATGACTTTTATTATTATAGAATTTCGTTTTTAGTTTTATGAAAATCGAATAATAATATAAGAAAAGCGGTTGTTGAATATAGGTAATCAGTATATATCTTTCAAAAGTAGGATACCAACAGTAAGTAACTATGATCAGTAAGTAACTAATTAACTATGAGCAGTAAGTATCTATAACCAGTAAGTATCTATAACCAGTAAGTATCTATGATCAGTTACTAATTTTGAACACTGATAAACAATGACTTGCAACTTTTGTAACACAACACATTCCTAAGACTTGGCCGGCAGAAGTCACTTCGTTCCGGTGATGTTAGAACCAGTTGGGAATTATATGCACAGTGTGCGAGATGTGTTTTGTTTCAAAGAGCAAGCTATTTGTATGAAACTACGGATTCATTATTCTAAATAATTTTACTAGTATATAAGTCGAGGGATGGCGAATCGGTGGACTATATATATAGATATATATAGCTTCCATAGGAACAATCAGAATTTATTAAAATTTAAAGGTATGTGATTCACGATTTTTTTTGCTTTACCCCATTATTATAATTTTTATTTAATACAGTTACAGTGTTACAATTAATTGTTATAGTTGTTTTATGGCTTCTTCAAACTAATTAATATATTTTTTCTTTTACAAATTCTTCTCCCTTTCCAAGCTTCCAAAAAATCAATTAGCGTTGCGTATACGTAATATTTTACAGGTAATTAACGTACCCCAAAAAAACAAAAAACAGTGAAGTTTGTCTCCCAAAAAAAGACACTAAGACAGCCAAAATATTAACAACTCCGCAAAGAGTGTAACCCAAATAAGGATGCAAAAAGCCCTGCGTCGATGGAAAGCCCAACAGAAAACCCAAAAGATTGCATAAGATTCCACCGAAAGGAGCATAAAAAATACATGTGTAGTATATATACCATATAGTAAAAAAAAAAAAAACAAAAACGTGGTCACAAAATAAACTTTCACTCCCCAGAGTCCGAGTCGGAGTCCAAGTCCCAAGCCTGAGCCCCAAGTCCAATTCCTTAACTAACCAAAAACGGAACTACAAAGCGGAGAAACAAAACAAGGGCCCCCATCTTCACCCATTAAAAAGTGTTTTAAAAAGTTATTTAGGAGAGTTCATAAATAACAAAAGTGCAAAAATATTTAAAAAGAAAAAAAAATCCACATAATTTATAAACTTGTAGTAATAAATGCAATAATGGAGATGACCTCTGCTTAACAAAAGAGAATAATAGAAATAGAACAATATTAAATAGAATAATAGGAAATTGAATCGTATTAAAAAAAATTTTTAAATGTTAAAAAAAGATAATAAATGGAATGATAGGAAAATTGTTAGTTAAATTAAATTAAGAATTTTTTTTTTTAAGTTCAGGAGTGTAATTGTCTAATAAAAGGATGTACAACAATCTGAAAAATATTATTTCAATTTCAACAATTATGTTATTGAAAT